CCAACCAAAATAAGCAAGAAACCAACACCAAAGGTTGCCATGAGCCTTGGCTACGAATGAGTGTTCCCCAGCCACATCATTGCCCAACAACTCAAACGGCCATCATTAAACTCAGATCGAGGCTTCAGTGAACCGGCAACAAGTAAAAATCGACCAATGCAAAAATCAAGCATCATCGAGAGGCAACCGAGAACATCAGCACCAACCCACAAATTATTTTCTCCCACGTTTACCCCTCCCACGAGAGGAAATTGAAACCACAGGATGATCATTCTTTACGGGAAAAATAGTCATAGGTTCATCGTTTCCACTAGATTCCGAAGACAAATCAGATGAACATTGCAACCAATCAAGTTGTGACCTAACATCCTCCCCCGAATTGGCACCCACATGTGCAACCAACGCTTTAGGTGAAACAAAATTAACATGTACCTCAACAAAATGACCCGATATAGAAGGCGTAACTGGAGTATGCATAGGATCAACACCATGTCCCTCTCGCACCACATCCAAAGGAGTAACCATACCATAGTCACCAAAATCTTCCACAGCTACACTATGAACTCATTACCATTAAAACGACAAGGAGCTAACACAGCCTCCCCCACAGACAAAACAGGACACTCATTAAAAGCACAACCCAAAGGACCAGCACTAGTACAAGCCCAAGAAAGCTGAATATAAGGTTAAACCCTAGCCACCTTAGTCACAGACTCCTTCACATTAGACCCGACAGCACCAGCCTCATCAATCATATTGTTCATCGAAACAGGCAAAGGGTTAAGAGAATTCGGCACCAGCTCATCAATAGAAAGCAAAACAGCAACATCTTCCTCAAGATTACCAACGTCACAACCCAAACCCTGCATCTCAGGCACCGACAAAATAGGGTTCACATAGCTCATGTCTTATATCATTCTAGGTTATAGATTCAAAGTACAAATGTATAACATTACCAGAAATGGAAACTTTGTCAAATATATAACATCACTAATTAACATTCAACGATTATTGCCAACTTGTCAAATATAGAGATAGCAATGGTTTTCTTAAAAATTTGCCTTAGAATCACTACTCATGAATTAGAATTATCGGGGAAGAAGAAGGCTTTGAGAATATTAGTGATTGATCAACTTCTTACAGCTCGAAATATCACTTATAGAATGTTTGAGTGTCTCTTAAAATGCATGTTCAACATTTTTAAACCTTGATCAAAATTTCTTTGAATCTTATTCAAATATTGTTTTGGTCAATTTTGGTTGTGGCTAACTTAGAAATGTAGTATGTAGACCATAGGTGCAGTATTTTGTTCTGATTAAAACTTATGTGCATATTTTTCTTTGAATCCGAACATTATATATATAAAAACTCAAATTTCAAATTTATTTCTTACATAAAATTTATAAATTTGTTTTTTTATATATCTATTTATTTATTCATTTTTAATTAGTTAATGATATTTGTATCAATTTTTCAATAAATTTGAGTTTATAATTTTTTTAAATTAGGGGATTTATATACATACCACAAGAGTTTTATGTAATTATATATCAAACACCTAAATTTGTATTTACTTATACACCACTTTAGTATTTAAATCACATCACAATATATACATGAAAATGTATGTTTTGATTTAGATAAGTTAATATTAGTGATATGTTTTGTGAAATTTAAAATTTTAAGTGTTTTATATATATAAGTAAATCTAAAGATTTAAGTGATAAATATGAAAA